CAATTTCAACCCAAATTGGAGGAATAACCCAAACAATCCATACCCACCAAAGCAAAATCCACCAAACATTTTGATGAGACCCCAACATCCGCCATATCCTTCCCAAAAACCTCCATATCCACAAACTTCTTATAACCCTCCAAATTACCAACAACCTCCACAACACGGCCAATCAAGTGGTAACCATCAAATGAGCCTTCAAGAACTCGTCACTTCTCTTGCTCAAAGCCAAACCCAATTTCAACAAGAGACCAAGAACACTTTCTCAAACATTCAAGCACAAATTGGAGACTTGGCCACCGCTCTCAACAAGATGGAACAAAGGGGTAAACTTCCATCTCAAACCGAGAAAAATCCCAATGTGAGTGCAATAACTTTAAGAAGTGGGAAAACCCTTGGAGAAAGCAACCCCAAAAGAGTTTCAAGAGAAGAAGAAGATGAGGTTATTATTGTTGATCCTCCGAAGGTTGAAGCTACTTCAAAGGAACCGGTTGTTCCCAACATTGATCAACCCGACTCTTCCAACAAGCCTATCAAGCCATTGGTCATACCACCACCTTTCCCTTCTCGGTTAGCCTTTTCCAAGAAACAAGAGGAAGAGAAAGAAATTCTTGAGACTTTCCGCAAAGTTCAAATCAACATTTCACTATTGGATGCCATAAAGCAAATTCCGCGCTATGCCAAATTTCTTAAGGATTTGTGCACTAATAAGAGGAAGTTTAAGGCGAATGAATTAAATTCAAGTCAATGCCAATGTGTCCGCGGTTATCCAAAAGAAGATTCCACCCAAATGCAAGGATTCGGGCATGTTTGCTATTCCTTGTACCATTGGTGACTTGCATGTTGAAAGTGCCATGTTAGATCTTGGAGCCTCAATCAATGTAATGCCATACTCGGTTTTTCAATCTCTCAATGTTGGACCTTTGGAAGAAACCGGAGTCATCATTCAATTAGCGGACAAGTCAAGTGTATTTCCAAGAGGTGTGTTGGAGGATGTACTAGTTCAAGTCAATCAACTAGTATTTCCCGCGGACTTCTATGTCATTGACCTTGAAGAGAAGACCCCTTCCAAGTCATCTATGATCCTTCTTGGAAGACCTTTCATGAATACCGCTCACACAATTATTGATGTCCATAATGGGAAGATCACAATGGAATTTGATGGAGAGATCATTCACTTCAACATCTTTGAAGCCATGAGATACCCTAGCAACATTTCTCCATTATATCGGGTTGATGTGATTGAGCCAATCACCCAAGAATTATTCGAGTTATCACATGGGGATCTTTTGAAGATGGTGCTCAACATGAGTTTTGATGTTGAAGGTTTGAAGAAAACATTGGATATGTATACATTGGACTCCGAAGTTGAAGAGATTTTGAAGACTTTAGAAATTAACAACTCAACAAAAAAGATGTTTCTCAAGTTGCCTTATCTCATTCTCCAAACAAGATGCAACCTTCCATAATCCACCCACCCACACTTGAATTGAAAGTCTTACCTAGCCATTTGAAATATGCTTATCTAGGTCAAGATGAAACTCTACCGGTGATCATCTCTTCTCAATTGAAAGACTTTGAAGAAAACCAATTGATTGAAGTCTTGAAAGATCATAAAGAGGCCATGGGGTGGACAATAGCGGACATTAAGGGAATAAGCCCTAATGTATGCACTCACAAGATACTCATGGAAGATGATTGTAAGCCTAGGAGGGAAGCTCAAAGACGATTAAATCCTCCCATGATGGAAGTTGTCAAGAAAGAGATAATCAAACTCCTTGATGCGGATATGATTTACCCGATTTCCGACTCCAAGTGGGTTAGTCCGGTTCAAGTGGTTCCCAAGAAAACGGGAATCACGGTTGTTGAGAATAACAAAGGAATAATGGTACCCACTCGAGTTCAAAATGGATGGAGGGTATGCATTGATTATCGAAAGTTGAATTCAAGCACACGAAAAGATCACTTTCCTCTTCCTTTCATCGACCAAATGCTCGAGAGATTGGCGGGCAAGTCACATTATTGTTGCCTCGATGGATACTCGGGTTTTCATCAAATACCCGTTGCCCCCAAGATCAAGACAAGACGACCTTCACATGCCCCTTTGGCACGTTTGCCTACAAGCGGATGCCATTTGGATTATGCAATGCCCCCGCCACATTCCAAAGATGCATGGTGAGCATTTTCTCCGAGTATGTTGAGAATATAATTGAAGTATTCATGGATGACTTCACAGTGTATGGCAATTCGTTTGATGAATGCTTGGATAATCTTAAGAAGATTTTGAAAAGGTGCATTGAGAAAAAGTTGGTGTTAAACTTTGAGAAGTGTCACTTCATGGTCAATCAAGGCATCATCTTGGGACACATCGTCTCCAAAAAGGGAATTGAAGTTGATAAAGCCAAAATTGATGTCATCCAAACCCTTCCTTACCCAACATGTGTTAGAGAAGTAAGATCTTTCTTGGGCCATGCGGGATTCTATAGAAGATTTATCAAAGATTTCTCGAAGATTACGCGTCCGATGTGCCTCCTTCTCCAAAAAGATGTTGATTTTGACTTCAATGTTGCATGTCAAGAAGCCTTTGATAAACTCAAAGCCTTGCTCACTTCCGCTCCAATAATCAACCTCCAAATTGGGAGCTTCCCTTTGAAATAATGTGTGATGCAAGCAATTTTGCAATTGGAGCGGTCTTAGGTCAAAAGGAAGGCAAAGCATCACATGTCATCTACTATGCCTCCAAAACCTTGGATAATGCTCAAGCCAATTACTCAACCACCGAGAAGGAACTTCTAGCCATTGTATTCGCCTTGGAGAAATTCCGGCAATACCTTCTCGGAACAAAAGTGATTGTATACTCCGACCATGCCGCATTGAAGTATCTCATGACCAAGAAAGATGCCAAGCCACGGCTGATTCGATGGATTCTTCTTTTACAAGAATTCGATCTTGAGATAAAGGACAAAAGTGGTGCCGAAAATCTAGTTGCGGACCACTTAAGTCGGTTGAATATTGGTGACTCCTCATCTTCTATCCTTGATGAATTCCCGGATGAGCACCTCTTCTACATTTCAAACACCATCCCATGGTATGCGGATATTGTGAATTACTTGGTTACTAAAGAAATTCCTCACACATTTACCAAGTACCAAAAAGCCAAGTTGAAGAGTGATTCCAAATACTACGTATGGGACGATCCTTATCTTTGGAAACATTGTCCGGATCAACTAATACGGCGGTGTGTTCATCAAAATGAGGTCGAATCAATCTTGAAGTTTTGTCATGAGTATGCATGCGGAGGACATTTTGGTCAAAACAAAACCATGCGAAAGGTCTTAGAATGTGGACTCTATTGGCCAACAATGTCAAGAGATACTTATCTATTTTGCAAAAGTTGTGATAGATGTCAAAGAACGGGAACCGTATCCACGAGGCATGAAATGATTCAAAGCCCTATCCTCGATTGCGAAATCTTTTATGTATGGGGAATCGATTTCATGGGCCCTTTCCCTGTCTCTTTCGGATACACTTATATACTATTGGCGGTTGATTACTTATCAAAGTGGGTTGAAGCAAAGGCTACAAGGCATGATGATTCCAAAACTGTGATTGACTTCTTGAAGTCAAACATTTTTGCAAGATATGATGTACCGAGAGCTTTGGTGAGTGATAGGGGCACTCATTTTTGCAACAAAATGATGGAAGCCATGATGAAAAGATATGGTGTCACACACCGGATATCAACCGCTTATCATCCACAAACGAATGGCCAAGCCGAAGTGTCAAATAGAGAAGTCAAGCAAATTCTTGAAAAGACGGTTAACACCACACGAAAAGATTGGAGCTTGAAGTTAGAAGATGCTTTGTGGGCGTATCGGACCGCCTACAAAACTCCAATTGGTATGTCTCCATTCCGCCTCGTCTATGGAAAGTCTTGTCATTTACCGGTGGAATTGGAACACAAGGCATATTGGGCAGTTAAAAAGTGTAATTTCAATCTTGAAGAAGCCGGAAAGCACCGAAAGATGCAACTTCAAGAAATCGAGGAGTTGAGGAACGAGTCTTATGAAAATGCAAGCATCTACAAAGATAAAACAAAAGCGTTTCACGACAAACACATCACTCGTAAGCATTTTATTCCGGGCCAAAAAGTTCTTCTTTATCATTCACGCTTAAAGCTATTCCCGGGAAAGTTGCGATCTCGATGGCACGGACCTTTTATTGTTATAAAAGTGTTTGATCACGGTGCGGTTGAAATTAAGAGTTTGGAAACAAATCAAATATTCAAAGTGAATGGGCATCGCTTGAAACCATTTTATGAAGGCTTTGACACAGGAGAATTTGACAACATAACATTGGAAAATCCGAATTACGAAGGTTGACGGAAGCGGGGCTAAGTCTTGGCAAAGACGTTAAATAAATGCGTTGTAAATAAATAATCTCCGCTTGAAGTTTTGGGTGTTTCTAAGCTTGAAGTTGGTCTAAAAATAAGCATTTGGAAGTCTAGCAATGATCTTGGTGAAGTTTGAAAAAATGGAAAAAATTCGAAATTTGCGCGGGTACCCGCGCAGAAGTTGCGCGACCGGCCCCCAGCCGCGCAAGTTCCGAGTTCTAGCCTCCACAACTTAGAATCGCATCTGATTAGTCTGTGCGGCCTAACTCCACCCTCGCAGATGTTTGCGCGCCCAAGAACAAAATGTAACCTTCCTTGCGTGGCCGACCCATTTTACCCACAACTCACCCGCCCCAACCGGTAACCCGCTCCAAACCCACTAATTACCCGGATCCGACCCTTGAATCGACCCGAAATCCCGACCCATGCCCGAATCATTTAAGACCCACCTTTTGACAACCTTGCAACCCGTCATAACCATTTTTCTTGGCTCAATCATGTCAAGGAGCCAGTTTACATCTTGCCTAATCCTAGCATCTCCACCTTTTCCACCAGCGAGCCTGAAACTTGGTTCTTGCCTGAAGAGTTACATGATGATGATGATGAAATGCATGTCGACAATTCCAATGCTGGTAGTCCATTTAAGGCCGAAGACCATTATGACCTCCCGATCCGACAATTGCCACCACCTTACTATGATCAGCCTTCGGGATCACACTTTCAGCCGCAACATGAGTACCACTCCTATCAGCAACACAATGAGCCCGATCCCGAGCACGAATTCCCTCTTGATATCTACAGTCAGCTTGCCTCACTGCGCCTCCAGGGCAACCGGAACACAACAACCATTCGCCGCATCGAGGAGCAGCAAGCCCGCACCAACAACTACATGGAGGATCTTTGGTATCATTTTCGGCCCGATGAAGGTTACCCCCCTCGTGGGCCTCCTCCACCTTGATCCCGGTATGATCCTTCCTTACTCTCATCCTAATCATTGAGGACAATGCTTAATTTTAAGCTTGGGGTGAGGTAATCTTTATCTTTTTTTTATTGCATTTAGGTTGTATATAGTTTCATTTAGAGTAACTCATTTAGGTCATTCATAAAAATTGCATGAAAAATTCAAAAATATTGCATATTTTCTTTCTTTCTTTTCTAATTTTCATACTTTTTAGATGCATCCTAGTTTAAGTTCATGCATTTTTGTTCTCTCTTGTCTTCTCATCCCTACAGGTACCAGAGCACCGAGTCATAAGTATTGAATCATAGATTGGTCCCGGGTCTTGATATGGAATTCCTTGTATTTGATAAGTGGGACACGTTTTAAGCCTCACGGACCATTTTAAGACCGCTTGTGTGGGGTTCAGATGCAGGTAGCTTGATTGGGTCTAGGTGCGGAGGGATGTGGTTGGTCATGCCAATGTGTGCGAGCAAAGATTAGCCCGGTAAGGTATTATGAAGACATTGAAGATATTGAAGACTCGCATCTTGGTTTTGGAGGGAGTACCCTTTATTACTCTCGAGTCTCGTCCGAGCCTTGCTTAGTTAGATTCTCACTGCCTTTTTAAGATAGGTTATTTTTTTAGGAGTCTAGAGTAGATAGTTAGATAGATTTTGTTTATCACACCTTGCATTGAGGTGCTTGATGAACTTTGAAGTGGGTCCCCCAATTCACATATTTTGGGACCAAGTCTTTTCGGTAACACCCATTTTTGAGTCATTCCCCACCCTTTTTAGTTGATCTTGGCACATTATCAATGATCATTAGGCGTTCATGTTAGCCTCCATCATTTGTTACATGGTGAAATTCCTTAGACCTTCAAAGAAGAAAACACAAAAAAAAAATGAAGAAATTGGAAAAGTGAAGACAAAAAAAACAATGAAGAAGATTAAAGAAAAGCAACAAAAACAAAGACGAAAAATGAAGAAAAAGAGCAACACAAAAAGAAGAACAAGAATCCAAGTTCAAGGCTTTAGTCTAAAAAAAAACCGAGAGAAATAAGAAGACTGAATATCAAGCATCAAAGAGGTTGAAGACCAAATAACAGAAGTTCGGGATTGAAGATTTAGGTTGTTAGGTTTAGATTTAGGTTAAGTAGAATTTTTATTATTTTATTTTTAATTTTTGGTGAGAAAAGGCCCCGACGATGAGACGGTAAATTGTAAAGGACAGTACAAGGGAGAAGCCTCTGAAACCGGATGTTTGCCCGGAGGCCGCGCTGCCAAACCCTATTTCATACTATACACTTTAGCCTGAAAAATGTAGGAATCATAGTGTGTGAAGAGGCACCTTTCCTTCGTGCACTATGATCTGCATTGGTGATTTAAAGTGCCCCCACTGGGCGCATCTCTGTTTCCTTTGTCTTGCACACCGCGACTACATCCAGCCGTGATCTATTCGCCCATCAAGTGGTTAGGAATGTGGTTTATGGCTCTAAAGAGGGGAACATTTTGAAGATGCGTAGGGTCCATGAAGGACTAATTCTGACCATGTTGACTGATGTTGACCAAGTTCTATGGTACCTTTCTTTTTCCTTTTTAGTTTAGCTCATCCCGAGCTCATTTTAGTCTTGTTCTACATGAGGACAAGTTAGGTTTAAGCTTGGGGTGATTTGATAGATTATTTTATTTCCTTATTTTATTAGTTTATTTTAGATTTTTAGATCTTTTTATCATTGATGCATTGTATTTTATTTATTTTTCTTTAGTATGGATCGTACCGGGTGCTTTTTATGTTGCATGAGGAATTTTGCAGGGTTTTGGAGCTTATCACGATTGTGGATTTGTAACATCCCAAGTTCGGAAGCAAGAAGTTGGAGGGTGCAAAGTGTAAATTTAGGAAGGGGACTCGACGAGTAGGTCCGTCTACTCGCCGAGTCGGAGCGGGATTCTATCAGGGTTTAAGTGGCCAACTCGCCGAGTCGGAGACTTGGACTCGACGAGTTGGTGCTGTAGGAAGAAAACCCTAATCCCGAGGGTTGCACCCTATTTAAAGGAATTTATGTCCTTCTCCCAGTCTCCTAATCCCCCTAAGAGTTCCAGAAACCCTAATTTTCGTGTGAGGCTTCATTATTGAGGAGATTGGAGCTTGGAAGAGGAAATTGGTGAAAAGAGCTTGAGGAATTAAAGGCTAACATCAAGGAGCTTGTGTGGATCTAGGATCTACATATGTTTGGGCACATTTCATAGGTAAAAAGCCATAATCTTATGCTGATTTCCTTTTTGGTTCATCCTTGGTGGTTGATGTGGAGTTCCATAGCTTGTTTGTGAGCTATTTCGAGTTAGAAGCTTAGATCTGAGGTTGCTACTTCAGATCTAGACTTGTGTTGGTCCAGAAAGTCATAAAGCATCAGTCTTTGAGTTGTTGGGGAAGCCCCTTTGTCATAAACCCTAGCCCTAGAAGTGTTTTGGACTTATATCTCCTTGGTTTCACGTAAAGTTTGAAACTTTATGTGAGGGTTAGGCTGTAGAAGAGTGTTTCTATGGATTGGAGCCTCTGCATGGATTGAAAAGCCTCTGTATGGATTGACAACTGAAGGGACTCGGCGAGTCACATGGGTGTACTCGACGAGTCGTATGAACATGTGCATGGACTCGGCGAGTGGAAGAACAACTCGGCGAGTCTGTTGACGATTGTCTTGGACTCGACGAGTCTGGTCGCAGAACCCCAATCTTTTCTGGTTAAACCTTGAAGCAGTGAGTCGAGAGGTGACTCGGTGAGTTGAGCAGGATGGGACTCGGAGATCGTTGGACTCGACGAGTCTTGGGGTGACTCGGCGAGTAGAGTCGTGTTATGGGAGTTTCTGAGTATAGGGACTCGACGAGTCGACGGGTCGACTCGGCGAGTAGAGTCAGTCAGGGAGGTTGACTTTGGCTGAGGACTTTGACTTTGACCAAGAGTTGACCAGTTTGTCTACCAAGGGTATTTTGGTGATTTTGGTATTTATGGAATTGGTTCTTTGGTAGTGTTCGGTGGTGGAGTTCGTGTCGGTGGTCGGAGCAGCTGATCTTATCCTTTCAGTCGGCAATTTCAGGTGAGTTATCCTCACTATATCGACAGGGTCTACGGCACCAAGGCCGACCCTTTATCGGATGGAAATCCGGGTATTGTTGTTATGTTATTGCTTTGCTAGATCTGCATCCTGGTATTTAGGATGGTGTTATGTTAGTGACCTGGTTAAAGGTCGGTACCCGGTATATAGGGTAATGTTATGCTAGTGACCGGTTAGGTCGGAATCCTGGTTAGGATGTTGATATGCTATGTGATCTGTTAGACTGTTTGTCTGGTTGAGGATTTGTTATGTGATTAATTGTTTTATGTGCACATGGTTGTTTGACGGGGTTGGGTTGAGGCGGGTCCTGCTTTGTGCTGTAGGCCAACATACCCAGGGCGGACCGGATATTCCGAAGGCCCAGCAAGCGGTCCGGATTGGATGAAGGCCCCAAGAGGGCGGACCAGACGTGCCGAGGCTCGGAGAGTGGACCAGGCCGACTGAAGGCCCGGTGTGGGCGGACCAGTCATACTGTAGACTCAGGGAGTGGACCAGGTGGATTGAAGGCCCGATGCGGGCGGACCAATCACACTGTAGACTCGATGTACATGGCTAGACTCGGAGCGTGGACCAGGTGGACTGAAGGCCCGGTACGGGCGGACCAGTCACACAGTAGACCCGATGTGCGTGGTTGTTCTATTTGTGATATGTTATGAGTATGTTTATGTGTGGTTGGTATTTTGGGGGGTAACTCACTAATCTTTCGGGCTTACAGTTTCAGTGTATTGTTTCAGGTACTTCAGGAGATCGTGGCAAGGCCAAGGCGTGATCGTACCGCTCCTCATGTTTTATGATTTATATGATATGGTTCTGGGGGATACTCTGATAATAAACTATTTTGAAAACGAGATGTATAAAGTTAATGGTTTTTGAATGAATTAAAATGTTTTAATTTGGCTCAATTTTTATGGGTGTTACAGGATTAGAGTGAAGACGGACTTGTGGGCTCTCGAGGGCGCTATTGGGCTTGGCGGATCCACCAAAGGAGATTTGGGCTTAAAAAGATAAAGGCTTGGATGAAGTGGGCTTGTGAAGATGGATCATGGATAATTAATTTTGGGTTTGGAGCATCCACATTTGAAGCTAAAAGATGATTGGTTGATTTGAATCACATGGATATGGAGGGGACCAAAGGAATCTTTGGTAGTGGAAGGGTGGAGTGGTGGAATGAAGGACCAATAACATTATAGCAACATTTGCGCGGGTGGAATTTTTGTCGCGCGGGTACCCGCGCAACTGCCCAGTTTGGGCATTTTGGTCATTTGGCTTGCCATTACCTTGGGGGATCAGACCTAGCAGCCACAACTTCGATTTTACACCATTGGAGACCTGGAGAAGGCGATTTTGAAGCTCAAAAACTCATTTCTCTTCATCTTTCCAAGTTATTTGGTAGTTTCTTTATGCAATTAGACTTTTGTGATTGTTGTTCTATTGCTATGAGTGGCTAAACTCTTTATATTGGTTAACTTTGGTTAAAACCTTTGAATGTTTGTGGGTTTTTGAAGGATTCATGCTAGATTATCAATTATCTTATGTTTATGGTTCTAGATCATATTTCTTATGCTTGTTTAATGCTTTGATCATGAGCTTGGCACTTGAATGAGCTATTGTTAGTTTATTTCTTTGGTTTTGCATTGAATCATTGAATTAACTTAGAACAAGGGCTTTATGATGGTAAAAATCATCTCTAGTTTATGAATCATAGCTCCTTTATGGATGTGTAAGCATTGACATCCTCTAGGAATTGGGGATTCCTTCTTTCTTAAGGCTAATTAACTTCTTGGGTTCAATTGCTTCAATTAAACCCTTGATCTTGATTAAGAAGGTGTGTTGTGGGCTTCCCCAACCTCCATACTACCTAAGAGGAATCTTTGCATATCATGCTTCATGATTGCTATAACCAATT